TAAATACAAACACATAGAGGTGGTTTTTCCACCTTGATTGACACTATTGATATTTAGGATCAGATAATTCCTTGTTTGTGGGCTATTACAGGATGTGCTGTAGAATGTTTAGCAGCATCTCTGCCCTCTACTCACTAAATGTCAGAAACACAATGTCCTCACCATCACTGTGACAACCCCCCACCAAAAAAAAATGGTCTCCTGGCTTTGCCAAATGTCCCCTGGGAGACACAGTCAGACCCAGTTGAGAACTATTACTTTATGGGCTGTTGTAACATTATTGACATTCCGAAATGACTCCAGTAATGGACTTTTAGGTAGGAACTTTTTGTGTACAGAATCAGATGGTAAATTATTTTAAGTGTAATAAGCCCTATACAGTCCCTGGTGCATAGCCTTTGTTTCTGTTTTGTTTTGTTTAAAACATTATTTTGATGTGAGAAGTACTTAGACTCAAAAATAGGTTAGAATTTGCTGATGCTTCCTTAACTAGATTGTAAAGGAAGAAATAATGGTAATTCCCAAAAGAAATAAAAGTGTTGAGTCAGTACCTTGAAAAATTGGGCTCTTCATCTAGTTATACAGTCTTTGTGACCCTAAACTAGCAGTTGTGTTGTCCTTCTTGCAAAGTCTGAATCAAATAATTCCTGGTAAAATTCTATTAACCTGTTTTCAATCTACTTCCATCAAATATAGTTAAACATAAACAGCTTAAATAAAATGGAAACTCAATATTTGAGCCAAATGAGATTTCCCAGTAAATGGAAAACCACCTCCTTGGTGAGAATATATCTTTTCTCCGGTTTGGAATTAAACATCCTGTGAGGTTCCTTTGAAGAAGCAAACATTGTACAAAGGAAATATCCTCAATTTTAAAGCAAAAATATGTTTTGATATGACTGCAGAGATTATCAAGGAAGAGAAAATGGTGTTTTGGAGCAAGAGAAGCTTGGGAACTGCCTGTAAAGTTGTAAAAATAGAAATGTCATTTTGAAACTACATTTCAAGGTACCTTCTATAGAATTTTCTTTACCTATTGCACAAATGCTTTAGTAAACTGGGGAAGGTCTAGTCACCAAGTGTTTGTTGAGAAGCTAGTATCTACCAGGGGCTGTGGATCTCCTGGGCTTGAATCCACCTGGACCCTGTCAGAGAACCATGCTCCAACAGGAAAACAGCTGTGTTCACTCACCCAGTGACTTTCAATAGTTTAAAAAAATATGTTGCTAATTAAAAATATCTAATGTTTTGCTCTGTGTATCTGGAGATTTTATCTGGATATTCTCATTGATATTAGATGACACTGGGCATGAAAATATCCTTATTGTTCAATTAAAACAACAGTATAAGAAGAGATGTAAGACTTTGGTCAGATATACTTCACTTGAATAACCAAAAAAAATGTTCATTTAAAATCATTCAGGTAGTTTATCACATGAAAGGTATGGGAATGAAAGGCCATATAGTAAAAAGAACACTGGGCTGAATTCAATCCTGTGTGTCCCAGTTCCAGTTCTAGCTTTGTAGGTTTTTTATTTTCATAGACAAATCAGTTAACTTGTGAAGAGTACCCTTTTCATCTGTAAGATGGAATGACACCACATTTTTCAGTATATTTGAACATACTATATGCTTATAACCTGTAAGTGGTGCAATGGTGATAGCATTATTTGAAGGACTCAGCTGATTCTCAGCTGATCACACTGATTCTTCTCTCTACATAGAGGATTCTGGGATCAATCCAGTGTTTTCTTGGTCACAGCCTAGACCAATTAACAATGGGATTGTCTTAAAATTCATTTTATATAATCACAAAGATATGTATTCATAAAGCTTGTAGGCCCTACTCTGAAATCTGCTTTGAGATGAACATCATTGATTTTTTTTTGTTAAAAGTCATAATGAAGTAAATTTAATTTTCTATAGAAATGAGGACTTTTGAAGATAAACATTTATTTAAGGGGGCTCAGAAATTAACTGCTGAGGCCTTCCAGCATTATCAGGTGCCAACCAATTCAGCCCCAAATTATATATTTGCCTTATAGTCTTCTGAGGAAACTATAGCTAGAGAAAAGTCACTCCCCACAGTATGGTGGGGGCGGGGTTAAATTCTTTAGGAATCTGTCAGAGAAATGTAATCAACATCACTTGAATGGAGAAAGCACCTTTGAATCAGGATCAGGGAGCTTTTCCAACAGATTTTTTCTGTTATTCTCTTAATTGCATTAAAAAAGGCAACCTTTTTCATTTTTGTCATTACTACTCACTGTCTAAGTTTTGTCAGTAAGTAGCTGCCCTAAAACCTGAAGAACGATATCCTTCAATGAATAGGTACAACCCCAAAGTATCATGAGGAGAAAAGCATTCCCATTCCGCTTGAAGTACCCTAAGCAGTTCTGCAAGTTAGTTCCGCCAGTTTGGCAGTACCCAGAAAACCTCAAACACTTCTTTATGCTCTGCCTACTGTATATAGCTTGGAGTGTGATGCCGTAAACATGTAGAAGCTATTTGGTGTTGTGTACAATGTTAACTGTGGTGCTATCTTTGATTCTAGTAAAGTATTAGGATGGCAGTAGCACTGACAGTAACAGTGACATGTCCATCCCTACTACCTTTTGGAAAGGACGAGTCAACATGTCTCTAAATGAAAAAAAAAAAAGGAGGAAAAAAATAGGTGTTCACGCCCACACTTTACATTACCATGACTACTAAAGAAACATTTTCTTATCCCCCTGCTTCATACCTACCAAAATAGGGGTTAGGTATATAAAGAATAAAATGGATATACAATTTTAAATCAAAGGCAATTCCCTACATTTTATGAGTTCTTATAAGCTGTATGAACTCATTTGACCAGAGAGCCATCAATTGGAAATGAGTTTCTGACCACTATTTGGCTTTGCTTTGATTTTGCCCATACACCTAAAACATGAAAAACCATCCCATTTCTTGAAACAGTCCACTGACTTCAAGCCTGTCCTTTGACAGGTAGGAAAAGCCAACCTCCCTCTCTCCAGTGCTGGCCTTCTTATAACATGCTTTTTCTGTCTTGAGCTGAACAAAATCAAACAGAGAGAAAGCATACAATTGCAAAAAGATCTGATGTGCCTGTTAATGTCTCATTAACCTTGAGAGTGAATGTAACTGGTTCCTGCCCATCACAGTGGCTTGGCGTGATGGTTTCTTAGGGGGCAAAAAGCTGATGGAAACACCTCGTGGGGAAAAACACAAAGAGAAACATCACTTAGAAGATCATCTATCAAAAAAAAAAAAATGAGGCATTTCCAACTGTCAAGACTGGCTGAATTACAGTTTCCTTAAGCCTGTGATGAATCTACTACATGCTTTCTCAGGAAAGCATTTGTAGCAGTATTTATCTGTGTGTCAAAATATGCTCACTTAAGTATTGAAAAAACATTTTGATGTTGGAAGGAAAATCATGAGAAAAGTAAACATCTCAGGATTAACATTAATAAGGTTGTACAATAAGTGAATATGTGCAGTGATTAGTGTGCCATTAAAAATATCACAAGCCATTCAATGCAAGAAGCTTCTAATTCCATTCAGTCCCCAGCCAGATTCTCCTCTTTACTAATTGCTGATGGATAACATGTCAACAAACAGAGAGGGAAATCACAGAAGAAAATGAGCTTGTCTCTAGGGATAAATGGTTACCTGGAGAGGAAGAGACAGAGGAAAGAGTTCCTCAGATTCACTAGTAGATTCCCCTTGGGATAAGTAGACTAGAAATCTAACCTTCCTCTAATCCCAGAATCTGGACCACAGGAAAGCAGCACTTTCCATCCCTCTGCACCAGCATCTCAGCTGGGACTGGTTCCTGTCTGCCCTCCCCAGAGCAGAAGCTGAAGTAAACAAACCCCACAGTCCCCACCAGGGATTCAGATGGAACATTCTCACCTATTTTTTTTTTCCTTTTTCCTTTTCTCTCCCATGGTCTCCACTTTCCCATTTCTAATCCTCACTCTTCAGCCTTTCTTAGGAACTTCTTGAAAGTTATCACCATTAACCTCACTTTTCACATCAAATTCCCACCTCAGGCTGAGGGTACAACTGGTTTCTGCTAGTGACACCCTCTAAGCAGTTGCTGGGTTCCTGTGATCCGTGATCTTCTCAAGGCCCCACAGCAAGGCTTCTGCCCCCAGGCTTCTGAATCTGCTCCTCACTCCCGTGCTCAAATGCACCCCAATAGGTTGATCTGTTCTCTTCCTAAAGAAGTTTCTTTTTCTTTTCTTTTCTTTCTTTTTTTTTTTTTTGTATGTGTGTGTTTCAGAGAATAGGAATTACTGTGAAAGAGCAAATAACTACGAGTTACAAACACCACGTCCTACTCTCTAATATAGATATGGCTTGTTCCAGGAGAAGGGGGCTGCCAGATGCCATCCTCCAGGGAACGCACTTTTAGTTGGGTGGGTGGGAGACATTTTCCTCTTTCATCCTGCTTCCCATTCCCCAGTCCCCTCCCTACCACCCCCATTAGCCTTTCCCAAAACACTTCAAGGGACTAGAGGAAGGGAGGAAGCATAGAGACAGGGGACTGGTGTCTCTGAATCCCACCTCCCTCCTCCAGCCTAGTATTTCGTTCTCAAGTAGCGGGACTTTCTTTAATGTCTTCTCTTGTTCCGCTTCTTCTTGGCCCAGTTACCCCAAAGCCTCCCCGCCCCCAAGCCCACTGCGACCAAAACAAGCGCACCGACTACAGCACCGTGGCCGCCGCCGCCCCAACTGTTGCAGCAGCTGCGGGGTGGCGGCGGAGGCGGTGCGGGCAGGGCCGGGCCGGGACCCAGACCCGGACACTCTTTGCCACCGAGCCTGGGAGGCTCCGGGTGGTCGGTCAGGGGCGCGCAGTGCAGGGAGCCCCTGCAGCAGCCACCTTCTGGGATAGCAGAGGCGGCGCTCTGTGCCGGGACCCCGCGTCGAGCCAGCCCGCCGCAGCAGTCGCGCCGCCGGCCGTAGGCTGCCCGCACCCGTCCCCCTCTCACCTTTAAGATCAGGTCAGTGTGATGCTGGTCCAGCATGTTGGCTTTCTGGAAGGAGGTGACGATGACCCGGCCGTAGCGCCCAGGGGTCTGCAGGTCTGAGTAGAGACGGTGCTTGGAGCGGTTGACCGGGAAGAGGCTGTTGACGAGGTTGCGCTCGATCTTGGCTAGGCTGTGCTGGGGCGCCAGCAGGTGCTCCACGCTCTCTTCGACCTGGTAGCGGCTGAAGCTGGCGCCGAGCAGGATGGAGATGAGCACCGGCGCCGAGGCGAAGAAGACCGGGTGACTGGCAATGAAGTGGCCAAGCCGGGAGAAACACGTCCTCAAGCCCCTGTGCAGAACCTGCCGCAGCATCCTAGAGCAGAGCGGGCGCGGGAGGAGGGCGAGGCGCACGCTCGGCGCGGGCTCGGGCGGCGGCGGCGGCG